GAAGCGTTCATATCAGTGCTATGCCGATCCCCACACAAAAAGGTTCATGAGTATACCACAGAGTGTCAACGCAACTGTCTGAAACCAGAAGATAGAGTACCTGCATGATTTCTTTCTTCGTCTGACGCAGATTTCGGGTAACAGCTCAAACCAGAAAAGCCGTGATTCTCGTTATATGGATCCATATTTAACACAATAAACCTAAATAGCGAAAATAAAGCCCAATATTATGGGTCTGTTATCAAACCGATAGGTTTCACTACCGTCCGTAAGAACTGAGTTCTGTTACATCTTCAAAGGCGCATAGCCGGTGAGTGCAACAAGTATATTGAAGTTCCGACACACAACGTAAATAAGAGTAAAGCAAAGTTTTCCTTGTCTGCTCACAAGCATCGGAATAACTCACGACCTTCAGCGGCTTTCCTTTATTCAATATTTCTACCTCTGACCGTCCAAAATGTTCTTCCATGTATCTGCACCTGTATGACCCCAAGAAAACTGCATTTACTTCAGAACGTAAGCCAAGAACCCCGTTTCTATAAGGTTCATCTTCTAAACAGGGGTACTAACACTCTTAACTTGGCCTTCCCTGAATTTAAGACCACGTGATGGAGGTTGCAGAGGTAGATCCTCTCTGGACAGTGGTTACGCACTTGTCAATCTATCCTGACCATAAATTAATATAGTATACTTATTGATTTTAATGGAGGATGTGTGAAATTTAGGCGGAAACCAGTGTCCCGTTCCACTTGAAACTTCTTCAGAAGCACGCCAAATATTAAGTAGGAAAAAATCTTGCACACATGTAAGCTCGAAGATGTGGCCTGTTTGAAAAGAGCAAAAATGAAAATAGTTCGGTCATAGCAGAACACAGAATCTAGAAGAACCACATCATCCGATGAAGCTCAATTAAGATCAACTAAATTAAGAAGCAACTAGAAAGAAAGCAATTTTCCTATAGCAGTTACGGTATAGTGAACAAGAGCAACATGAAAAGTAAAATAGGAACCTATACCACTAATTCACCTGAGCATCAAATGCTCCGGTTTAACAGCTTTGTGTCGCGTTACTGTATTTGCTCTTATCAATACTTTTCGATTCCCTAACTGTTGCAATACATTTGTATTTGCCTCCATTTTTCGGTAAGATTTTTTATAATTTTTGGAAAACTTTTTGAACTCTATGTACTTAATCCCGACTCTGAGCTTAACTCTCACGATCGACTCTAATTACATGTAAGCTTCGGCTAGTTTAAAGCACTTTTGCGTAACTAGTCAAACCCGATCATTTGTCCTACTCCCTTTATGTTGAAATTTCAGCCAATCAGATTTAATGAAACTCCGCCTTAATGGTGTGGCAGTTCACTCAGTGACGGAGCTACAGCGCGCAAGAGGTCGTCAACGACGAGCACCAAATGACGCATAGTGTGGAGAGTGAATGGAACGGATGGAGTTTTGGATAGATTAGATGCATGGCGACCTTCTCGCGCAATAAACTAGATTACCACAGTCGTAGTAAGTTTATATCTTAATATGCTGATGTTGTGAAAATTTATTCAGTGGTTGAACATTCCACAATTACGCATATATGTATTATAAATATTCTTTACTTCAGTTT